GGTTGCAAACTACCTACAAGATCATCCAGTCCAACCGTCTCCTCATCGCCATTGCCACCACAAGCACTAAACCCTGTCACGCAGCACGTCATCCAGACGCGTGTTGAACACTGCCAGGGACAGCGACTCCACCACCTCCCTGGGCAGCCATTCCAGTGCCTGACCACTCTGAAAAAACAAGTTCTTTCTTACATCTAATCTCAACCTCCTCTGATACAACTTGCAGCCATTACCCCGTGTCCTGCTCGTTGCTTTTTAAAAGTAAGTAGCTCTTTTCTGTTGTTTCTACTGATGCTGTACCTGGGCTCTTTTTGTTTTCCTAGACCTGCAGTCTTTACTATTCTCTTATTAGCATCCCATTGTAGTTGCTTTAAAAATTGTTTTATAATGATTTAAATTCATCTAATTTAAACTTTGTTGTCTAAGGTTTATCTTGTTTGTTTGTTTGTTTATCATGTGCTAGGTTAGTCTATCAGTTCATAAGTTGTCTCAAAATGAAAGTTCTTGAAGGAAAAAAACAGGAGTCTACGTGATTCTATACTGCCATGGAAAAAAAACTTGTAAGTAGCTTGATGTTGTGTCCTGTGCCATGAGGCATTTATTTGCTCTTCTCTTAATAAATAAAAAAACACGTGCAAAGGCTGCACTAGTACAGAGGTCCCTGTGGGACATCCCAACTCAGTTCTGCTTTCCTAGCTTTAAATAGTCATTTCATAAAACTGTAGTTATTCTTGTAGCACCCTCTAGTGTTCCTAGCAGTCCTGAAGCACAGTTGTAAAGATTGTGATCTTACCTGAAATCTCTTCCTCCCAGTTAAAAACTACTGATTTACCCCACTGAAGGAGCTTTGTAGAACATCACATACCCCTCTTCTATATTTAACTCTGATCGGTCATGTTCTATTTTCTTTCAGAAGGCAATGAAGTTCTAGTTTTCATACAACACAACAAAGGAATTAGGCCTCTCCACCTTAATAATGCAATTATAAGAGATAATCCTAGAACCATAGGATGATTTGGGTTGGAAGAGATCTTTCAAGATGATCTGAAGATCATCTGGTTGCAACCTCCTGCTACAGGCAGGGATGTGTCCCTCCAGACCAGGCTGCTCACAGCCCCATCCAGCCTGGCCTTGGATGCTTCCAAGGAGGGGGCCATAATGAAGACTGCCAAGTGTAAGATTCTCTTTTACTCCTTCCAGTCCTTGAACTAGTACAAAAAAAGCATAGAAGACCAGTCAATGTTACGTCTATCATCCTATGATCTTGATTTATGACAATAAGAGAGCTAAGACCCACTGTGTAGTTTAAGAACAGCGTGTCGTGTTCTGAAGTGTGCTGACTACCTGACCTTCATGCTCAAACTTAAAAGCAGCATGCAGGCTACAAGCAGGGAGCTTTTTGTAGCCACAACTGTTCTCAGTGTTCTTAAGCAAGGCACAAAACTAGCCATCCTGTTAAGCTGCATGACTGAAATGAAGGAAGTTTTCAAAAAAGCAAACCTGCTGAATAGTAGCTGGAGTGCAAAATTATTATGTCAAAAGCTTTTGCCCTTAATTGTATTACTCACTTCTTGCACTGAAATGGTGCAGTGGTTGCCTTGAGCAACTTCATTCTGCTGCCCAAAGTCAGGGTTGTCCACTGTACTGTTAACATGGGTTTTGGCGTTGATGCAGCGAGTTTGCAAGCAACAAATACACAATCTAGACTCAGTAGGTAAAGCAAACGAGCATTATCTGTTTAGTATGTGCTTTTGCCTGGATGGGTTTTCATGTAAGTTGAGAAAGAAATACAATTACTTTCCCATACAACATGTAGACTTGAAGAACAAATTCATTTTCTCCAGTTGGTTTTTGGAACATTTCTCATGAAGTTCTGCAAGGCATTCTAAATGCAAATGGCTATTTACTGTCTCAACTCTTCTCCCGATTCACTGCAGTGCATATCATAAAATGATCTACCTTGTAGCACTTGATTCTGGAAGTCGCAGCTCCTCCTAACTAAGCAACCTGCTGAAAGCACTGCAGTCCCTAACAGGACCAAGATGTAATTTTAGAAGAAACATTAGCAAATGCCTTTGGCTTTGTGCAGATGCGCCTACAAATTTTATATTCTCGATGTAAATCTGAACAAATGAGAGAACCACACAAAGGCCACACCTCAGCCACATGAACACAAATTAGAACGGTCAACAGCTGAGACTGCTTTTGCTCCTTGCTCATTTGAAAACCACAACCCAGATACATCCTGGTAACTCTCACTCCCCAAGTCTCCCCAAAATTCTAAGGAGCTGTTCTGCTTGTGTCTGTTTAAATTCATCAGTCTGTGTGCTTAGCCCAGGTTTTGGCCTCTTTTAAAAAACAAAACAAAAAAAGAGAAAAGCTTTATGAGACTGAACGAAAAAGCCAGATGCCATAGATTTAACAAAAACACACTAAAAACACTTTCCAGGACTACCAGAGAACTGAAGGCAACCACTTGGACTTGGAACACAACAATCTTCACTTTTTATTTTTTTTTAATATGGAAACTTTGGGAAAATATTATCAGTGGTTTCACGAAGTGAGACCTGACCACAGGTACCGTACACAACCGTCTGTTTTAATTTCAGAGGTGAGGCTTTCAGGATCAGATTGCTTGATTCACAGCGTGGTAGCAGGAAGACTTCCAAGGAGATGGGAAATATCAGTTCAAAGTGTGAAAACAGGAGAAAGGAGTAAAAAACAAAAAAGCATGGGATAGGAGGAATGACAGCAGCACTGAGCCACTGGTACGGAACGTGGGCTCCCAGGGCGCAGTCCCTGCTTTCAGTGTAGGGCTCCCAATTCCTCTAGTCCAAGTTGGTCACCCTTCACCATTCCGAAGGTAACACAGTCACTGTTGACATCGTTTCCACAGCATGTGGAAGTTCTGATAGCAGATTTTTGTATGTAGTCATGCTAACTGTTAAGTAATGTGTCCCACATACAGGGCTGCTCTGACCGTGCACTGCCCTGACCTGCTTGTGCCACCGCCTGCTATTTATCACCTCAGCTTAACGGGTTTTGGGAGCTCCGTGTAGTCTATTACTCAAGATCTTTGGAGCTTATGACTAACGTCATAAAGTGATGGGGTTATATTGCTGTTGCACACGTTTATTAATAAAAACGTGACAGAGTCACAGCACAGTCGGGGTCAGAGAGAAGGGAGCTCCGGGATCACCCCGTGCATCGCCTGCTGCAGCAGCTCGCAGGCGGGCCTGAATATCTCCAGAGAAGGGACCCAGGCCTGTGGGCAGCTCGCTCCCGGACAACAAAGTCCTTCTTTGTGTTGGTGCGGAACTTCCCGCGTTCCAGTTCGAGCGCACACGTTACTTTACCTCGGGCTGTTTAACAACCGACTAAACGCTCACCAGAGATCTGCAACAGCGGCATCCCGGACGGCCGCGCACGACGCGCCAGCCCCGCTCACCTCGTCCCTCAGCGCGAACGCGCTTCTCGCGCGGGACTGCTGAGGGCGCCGAGCCCGCCCCGCTGTCCCTCACGCGCACACGGCCGTTAAGGGGCGCCGCGCACGCGGCAGGGCTGTGCGCGCAGCGGGCGGAGCTCGGCGGCGGAAGGGCGGCCGCGCGGTTCCGCTCGAGGAAGATGGTGGCGCCGGCGGCGCTCCGCGTGGTGCGATGCGGCGGCAGCGCCCTGCACGGCGCCCGGGCCGTCTTCTCCGTCGGTGCCAGGCAAGCGGCGGGCCGGACTCCGGGTCGGAGCGACCCCGCGAGACGCTGACGGCTTTCCTTCCTCTCAGGTTCCTGCTGTGCGCCTCCGGCGACTTCGTGAAGATGTACAGCGTGGCCACCGAGGAGCTGGTGCGGCTGCTGCGAGGCCACGGCGACCTGGTGACGAGCGTGCAGCTCGCCCCGCACAACCATCTGCAGGTGGGCCGGGCCGGCAGCGGGGTAGCGCTCGGGAGGGGGGCCGTGCGGGGCCGTGCCGCTGTGCGGGCAGGAGCGCTTTGCGATGGCGGCTCGGAGCTTTTCGTGTTCTGTGTTTGCGGTGGTTCAGCCGCGTCTAATCTCAGTGCGTTGATCGGTGCTTCAGCGCGAAGTGGGGATTTGATGTAAAGTCTGACTTTGGCGTATTGCTGTAACTTGGGTTGGTTTTTTTTCAGCTGTATTCTTCCTCCCTTGACGGCACCATTAAGCTGTGGGACTTCACAGATGGGATTCTCTTTAAAGTACGTTGAGCTGTTCCTGTTGAGTAAATATCAGCGTTATTCTTGGTCTGTAGAAGATGATGTGCTCTTGC